CGGCAAAGCAGAATCCCCCCCGGTAGTGTCGACCTGGTGTTTGGAAGACGCGGCGTCGGCCGCAGCTTCACTTGAACTCCGTCATATCACACTTGTGGGATGATTTCATCAGAGGCAGAAAGGAGAGTGTCATCACGTTCCCAGGTTGTGCGGTTCCCTTCCCTCCCCGGGGAGGGGGGAAGCAAAAGAGGAACGCTGGCGTGTTTTGTAACCGTTGCTAAAGTCGTGGACGGGGACAAGCTCATTTGGGGAGATCATCAGAGATGGAGTGACGGGGCACAAAACAAAAACTAAACTTAGCTGAAACTGCAGGAAGTCCTGACTCTATCTCCTGGATGTACTGGCCTCCCCTCTTCCCTCCATACCCCATCCAACCTTGCCTTCAACGATTACCTAACATTTGGTAATGGAGTGTTTCCCCCCACCCCCCTTCAGAAATACCTTATTTTTTATTTATTTTTTGAGTCAGGAGTCTCACTCTGTCACCCAGGCTGGAGTGCAGTGGCATGATCACAGCTCACCACAGCCTTGACCTCCTGGGCTCAGATGATCCTTCTGCCTCAGCCTCCCCAGTCACCGGAACTACCGGCCTACAGGCACAGGCCACCATACCCAACTAATTTTTTATTTTTCTTAGAGAGGGGGTCTCCTATGTTGCCCAGACTGGTCTTGAACTTCTGGGCTCAAACAATCCTTCCACCTCAGGCTCTCGAAGTATTGGGATTATAGGTGTGACCCACCGTGTCCAGCCCAGAAATACCTTCTAAACTTAAACTAGGTATTAAATTCTAGGTTTTACCCTAATTCTTTAAATAAATGGTTAACTTCTTCTTAATACACTTCTGGTCCTTAGGCCTTTTCTTAAGAGGAAAGCATTTCTTTTGTGTCCTTGTTCTATATTTATTTTCAGTCACCACAACATTTAGGATTATTTAAAAAGGATAGCAAATCAGGGCCCTTGAGCAACGTAATTGATTTTCCAGATTTCTGCTCTCGTGCTTTTGGAGGTAAAGGATCATCAATAGCCCACATTGTCAGGGGATTACACTTGGTCAAGTATCACTTTGCTGTTATTTATTAAGCAGAGAAATGATGGATGATCTATTTATGTTAGTAAAAAACTAAACTAAAACTAAAAGAGCTAAACTAAGCCTTCCTTAGTCTTAAAAATTTGGCTATGTGCTTGCTTTTTACCAGTGTCTAGGGGGCTGAAAGAGCTATGTAGCAGAACACAGCGAGAAAGGGCTTGCATTTGGTTGTTAGCAAATTTATGTTGAGGACATTTATTTTATATGGTTTCACTGGCAAGTTTAGAGGCCCCTAAAGTCGAGGCATGGCTGTCTACAGTACTCATTTGAAGTCCAGCAGTATGAAGGGTTAACTCACTTAAAGATCACTTCATGGTCATGACAGTTGTTGCTACTGATGCAGGCATTGTACTCAGATGACAAGAAAATGTATAAAGCTACTAAATTATTGCACATGCAAAAATATGGGGAAGTTCCATGAAGAGCTTGTAATGAATGTGTTTGAATGACTAAAACTATAGCAGATGGTGTGACAGTCGTGACATCCCCTAGTCTTGTTCAGTTTTATCCCTTCATTCTATATTTGGGAGGGCACTTTGGGAAAGGGAAGAGTTAAAGTTAGAATACTTCTAGAGAAAATGACTTGTTGCTTCATGTGAGAATATTAGTCTTGCCAAAAGAGAAAAAAACCTTGGAAAAAATGCCTGGTGTTGTAAATTGTTAGTGAGTGAGCAAATGAAGGTCATGGGGCTGTGATTTTCTGAGGTTTTTGAAGCCCCAGGTCCCTGAATAAAACCCTATCCCTATCTTTACCTCTTTCCCCACCTTTTAGCATATAAGTATTAATATTCTCAAGCTGTGATTCAATTGTAAGCAAAGCAATTGAAAGTATGACAGTAAACTTCTTTAAATACTGTTTTATGACCTGTTTCTTATAAAGTCTTATAAATCCATCACTGAAATATTGCAGATTTTAAAGCTCCTGTAACTATGACAGTAACTTTCTTTCAAGCTTAATAAACTTTGCTAACAAGAAGGATAGCTGGTCAGTATGTTTTTGGGTGACTTTTGTTAACTTTATTTTGTGTGTGCTATAAGCAATTGTACTTCTAGTGTGCTAAGGATGGTGAATCAGGGGTTTACTTTTATACAGATCATTCAGCAGCTGCCATTCTCCTGTGTGCCTCAAAACACATGTCATATGGATGTTTTGAAAACACATTGTTTCTTAGGAATTAGCTGGTTTCTGGGTAATGATGTGTCAGGTGTGTTTAGGAGTTTCTTCATCCCTAAAGATGTTACCTCTGGGAAATTACTACCAGGTTCATGTTTCTTACAACAGAATAACTTTTTAGAATTGTTTCTAGAGGATTTCCAGTAATTTCCCTTGGTAGAATGTTTCTATTAAGAAATATCTTTGGCCAGGCTTGGTGGCTCAGCGTGTAATCCCAGCACTTTGGGAGGCCGAGGCAAGTGGATTGTCTGAGTCTGAGGGTTCGAGACCAGTCCGGGGAACTTGGCAAGGTCTTGTCTCTACAATAAACCAAAAATTAGCCGGGTGTGGTAGTGCACGCCTGTAGTTCCGGGTACTCGGAAGGCTGAGGCAGAAAGATTGCTGGAGCCCAGCAAGTCAATGCTGGGGTGGCCATGAGTGTGCCACTGCACTCCAGCTTGGGTGACAGAGTGAGACTCCAACTCAAAAAAAAAAAAAAAGAAACATCTTAAGTATTATCTATTAAGATAATACTGTGACCAACTTGTGATCCCATGAGCAGTGCCATGTGTTAGGCTTCAGTGATGCATTTAGCCCTGATCTAAAAGGATCGTCCTTTAATGAGAAAGAGCGCTCATATAATGCAGGCATCAGTGGTCAAGAGGTCAATTTAGAATATTCTTCTCTTTTTATGTTTGTTTTTCTTCTTTTAAACCTTTTGATATGCCCAAAATTGAACTGTAGGAAAAACAGTCCCACAATGTGTTTTCCTGTTTAAGCAATAATTTTATTTCCTCTTTAAAATTGCCATTGAATTTTTTATGAATCAAAAAGAAAACAAACCTGAAAACTCTCCCACATAAGAGGTTCTGTGGAGGGACAGAAAAGTACTGAAAAATCAGTGCCACAGTGCAGCTGAGAGCTGTGGGAGACCTAGATCCTGTGTGGAGTTGGTGGGCACTCCTAGACCTGCTAGCAGCAAGTAGCAGTTAGGAAAACTGTCCATTACTCCACCCCCCAGATTTATGATTACATAGTCAATCACAATTAATGTGTGAAGGGACTCTGTGGCTTCCCCTGAAATTCTCATCAATGATCTGATGCTTATAAAGTAAGAAATGATTTTCAGCTTAAAAATAGCATGTATTTTTTGATGGGGAGTTCCTTCATGTTTGTACCACAAGAGTTAACTTAGGTGGCTAGATATAAAATTTATGTTGATAATGGCGTCTAGAGTGACGTCTCTGTTGGCGAAGTGGAGGATGGGGTGAGCTGTCCGCATTTGCAGTTGACTCAGTCTAGATGTGTAGTGCTAGTCTTCTTCTTCAGTCATGATCTGTGGGTGGGAGATGGGCATAAGAACTGATCTGATTTACCAGAGTGATTATGGCAGTGTAGTCTTAGAGTCCAGGTTATCTGGCTAGTAATGGCAGTATACTGTGATGGGAAAGTTAGGACATAGAGTATGGTAGACAGTGCTGGATGTCAATCCAACATCTTTCCCCATTCCCCTTTCTAGCAGGACCCCAGTTTTGTTCAGATGTTGAAGCTTATTCATGCAGCCCCCTGTTTCAGAAACGTTAGCCCCATTTATGGTCCCTGAGGGTGGGTGCTGGTTGGTCTGTGTCTCACATGGTGTTGTGGTCTTCTCACCAGTGATTATACTAGGCATGGGATTGTGATATGATCTGGTCAATGATGCCTGAGGGAATGTCTTCCAGCTGCTTCTGAGGAAGTTTGCTTCCCCTTTGAAGAAGAGACAAAGGCTGAGCAGAATGGCTCACACTTGTAATCCCAGCACTTTGGGAGGCCAAGGTGGGAGAATCACTTGAGCCTAGGAGTTTGAGACCAGCCTGAGCAACATAGAGAGACCTCATCTCTACAAAAAAATAAAAAAGTAGCCAGTAGTGGTGGCATGCATCTGTAGCCCCAGCTACTCGGAAGGCTGAGTGGAAGGATCGCTGGAGCCCAGCAGGTCGAGGCTGCGGTGGCCGGGAGCGGCCACTGCACTCCAGTCTGGGCGACAGAGTGAGACTCCAACTCAAAAAAACAAAAAACGAAAGTAGAACGTGGGTAAAGATTATACTGTTAGTATTTGGCTCAGTTCCTCATTTGTAGAAATGAATGAGACCTTTTAAGAAGTAAGGAGTTGCCGCTCCTCTGGAGTAGCGTGGTTGGGGAAAAGAAGAGCGAGAGGGCTCAGTACTGATCACTTTATATTTTGATTCAAGAAATACTTTTAAGCAAGCCAAACTACTGATGAAGCTAGCAGGAGTTTTGAATAAGGAAAACGACCGCAGACTGGAAACTTATAGGGTCAATACTCACTTTTCATTTCCTTTAGTCTTTGTGAATTGAAACCAAGACTTTGGAAATGGGAAGCTCTTTAAGAAGCCCCAAGTGGAATGTTGCAAAGCCATAACAGATTTTGTGAGCGGACAGTTTCTTAGATTCCATCAAAAAGAAAGCAGACAGTAGACTGAGACAAATTAACATTTTCTCCTGTGACTTTCCCCCTTGTGGGTTCCAGACAAACCCTGTTGAGACCCATAGAGTCAGATGCTGAAGCAAGACCTCGTCTTGATGAAATATGTCTTTGACTATGGTCGTCGGCTGCAAGGGGACTACATCGTCCAGGGCGTACTAGTATAGTAATTGCTAAGGTGACAGTAGTTTTTAATTCTTTTATTTTTACTGTGGACTACTGAACTGATTGTAGTTTTACTTTATTGTAATCTTTGGGAAGGTCTGAACTGGGATCACACAAAGTAAAGCAGTAGGAGCCTATTTTTTAAAACAGTAGTTTCTAATTTAATTAAAATAAATGGACTGTGAAAATCTTACAAAATATGCAGTGTGAATAACAGCAGTGAATTTTAATCTCCTGATCAGAAATTTTAATTTTTTGGGTCAGTATAGCTAGGTAACATCACTCTAAGAAACAAGATACATATAACAATTTGCGTTAATGAGACGGGAAATGAAGTCAGAAGTAAAAAGTATAACAGAAAGGAAGACAAAAGAATACAAGCACAATTCATCTGCTACAGTCTGTTTAAGGTAGTTTAGCAAAGCACAGGACATGTGGGCCAAAATTTGAACAGTTCCAAACATATGCACACACATACACACACACATACACACACACACAGACAACTAAACACAACCCCAAATGCATTACAGATTTTTCTTCTTCGAAACTGGAAAATTCATTTTAAAAAGAGACTAGCAAGTTGCTGCCAATAAGAAAATGCAAGCCAGCTTGAAAATATCTCCCCCTCCCCTGCTTTTGTTACTGTCTTTTTTTTCACTAATAGGAAAAAATAACATATTTAAATATATGAAAGCAATTAATTTTATTTGGCAGATTGCAAGGTCTAGTTTATATTTTTATGCTTGATGTTGTATGGAATGAGTCTGTAGGATTAAAATAAAGTAATAGTTTTTACAAGGAGCCCCAGAATGATTTTTAAAAGGTTCATAGTCTCAGGAATTTTGGAAGAAGAGTAAATGTCTCCATGCCAAACCATGTGGATAATTTTTTCTTTTTCCCTTTAAAAACTATTTTTATTTTGAAATAAGACATAGATTTTGAAAACCACACTAAGCAAATGCATAGCTTAGTGAGTCATTCATTATAAGGCAAATATCTAGGCAACCATCACCCAGTTAAGAAATAGAAAGAGCTTCACAGGCCCCTTCTCAGTTCTAGATCCCTCTGTCTCTCCAAAGATAACCATTATTTTCAGTTATCTATTTCTGCCTG